AAGTTACATTTGTAAAAATTTTTTAACAGAGAACAATGGCGACTAATATTTTATTTCATGTAATGGTGTGCATAATTATGTAACATTTATTTGTGACATTAGACTATTTATAATAAGAAAAACTTTTTTTTTTTGCAATATTATTTTTACAAAAGATTTACAGCTAGAACAGGATGCACACATGTTTATAAAAACTATATTAAGCAAAGATTTTTCTTAAGCTGCAATGTTTGTTGATTGATTTTGGTTTGTTCTGAGGAGTACATATTTTATACTATGCCTTATTTTATTTTTTGTCTTTTTTACTCATTAATTTATTTTTTATTTAATCAAAGTGATCGAATAAATGTGAAGTCATACAAAAAATATTTATTTGTTTAATGTTTTCTGTACCAAATAAAAACAAATATCAAGTGAAAAAGAAAATATCCATTTTATTGACTTTTTCAACTTTAGATGGAAAATTCAATAAATTCCATGTAGCCAAATGCACCAAAAGCATCAATTAATAAAGAAAATGACGTTTTAGAGTTGCAATTACCACATCTGATACTTTATATATATATATATATATAAAAATACTAAAAATATGAAATTTTTATTTTAGCTGTATTAAGACGCAATAAAAAAAACGTTTCCACGAAAAAATAATGGTTGAAAAAATCAAGAAAAAGGTTTCAGAAATGGCAGTGAGTTAGAAGCCATTTAATTGTCAGGATGTCGGTACAGAGAAAACGCACTAAATCACTAAAATACTAATTAAGTCCGTTTACATGAAAACAAACCATTTTATAACTATTAGGTTATAATTAATTTTTAATAACAAAATATAATTTTTAGCCATTTTATTAAACTAAAGGCAGTTTAATTAAAAGTTGTTTCTGTTGAGAGTTTGCATAAAAGTTGTTTCAAGTAAAGTCTAAAAATAAAATTAAATTATTTGGCATACCTAGCTAATTATCCGTCGTTATTTGGGTCCTGTTATGTTTGTAAGTAAATTTAATATTAATGAAACGTTTAAACTTTATAATAGCTTTAAATTTCTCAAAGTACCTTGAGAATTAATGCACAATTGCCAATTATCTGAGAACCACTTTTTTATGTATTTACGTAATTAAATCGGTAAACTTGCGAAGGCAGTAAAGAGTTAATTTTTTTTTACTAAGTAAGAAGGTGTTAATTTCAGAAATTTTCGATTAAAAAAATAAATGTGGTGTACCTTCTAACAAGCTCCAAATATCCTAAAAAAAAAAAAAAAAGCACACATTTTTACTTAACATTGCTCTTAAGGCAATATTTAAATATATTATTATTTTACCGATTACAAATAAAACATTGAAATTTAGAATAAATTTAAAAAAGATGTTGGTGTGGATTAAAAGTGTATTTCAGGGTCCAGACAGCTACTAGTTATCTTAATTTTTTTTTTTTTTTTTTTTTTTTTTTTTTTTTTTATAATTTAGCCGTACAAATATTTACAAGTTCCGTAATTTAAAATATTTAAAAATGGCAAGGACGAGAAGAAGACAGGGTTGTCTTATCACCAAACCCCTTGTTTGTCTAGACATTTATATAAATACATGGTAACTAAAATGAAAATTAAAAAATTAAGAAAAAAGCAAAATATTACAAAGAAGTTTATACAAAATGCCAAATAGTTTAATAGTTCAAAGTTTTGAAAGATATTTTTTCGATTTTATTTTTTGAAAGAAAAATTTAAAAGTTCATTCAGAAAAACAAAAATATCAAAAAACTAAAAAACATGAAAAAAGTAAACGTAAAATTTAATTTACAATCTGTTCTTATAAAGTGTAATATATTAATTCCTCAAAAATAAATTACAAAAAATTAATATAAAAAATTAAAACTCAAAAAAGATTACTTTTTTTATTTTTCCTCTCTCTCTCTTATTTAAGAAAACTAATAAATTTATTTAAACTAATGAAATCTAAAAATGCTAAAAATCTTTATAAGTACTTTTTTTATAATATAACATACTGTAATACCTATATAAAATTAAAGAATTTAGACCTTCCAGACAAATAAAGTATGCATTAGTAGATAGTTTTAAAATATAATATTTTTATAGATAGATTTAAAAATAATTATCTGTTTGTTCATTATTTAAAAGTAATAGTTTTAGTTTTTGTTTAAACTGATCAAGAGTTTTAAGTGTTTTAATATCATTACTGATTATCTTATTCCATGCATTAGGTCCTCTAACAGTTATTGAAAACTTGGTGGAGTCGTATATAGTTTTGGGTTGAACAAAGTTGTTGTTAGAATATTTAGTTACGTATTTGTGTTGAATTTTAATAAATAATGGTTTAAAGATATTTGGTATTGAATTGTTATTAGTTTTATACATAAAAATCAGAAGATGATATATATTTATTTGGTACACATTTAGTATTTTTAGATTGTTAAACAATGGTCTTGAATGTGAGAGGCGGTGTGCATTTGATAATAATCTAATTGCATGTTTTTGTTTGCTAAATAGCTTTTTTATCTTTGTTTTATTGGTGCTACACCAAGCAATGTTTGCATAATTAAGATAAGAATGTATAAATGAGTAATATATGTATTTCAAGCAGGACTGATCTAAGAATGGTTTAATGTTGCTGACAATAGCATAAAGTTTGTATTTATTCGACAACTATAACTGTAGCTTTGTATCTTTTAGTTTGTTAGTTTTATATTAAGCTATCAAAATAATATAAACTAAAAAAAGATGACCGCAAGCAAAAAATGATAATAGTTTGGGTTTTGTAAACAAAAACCTAGTGTTAATTTTAGGTAACTCATTTTGTTTAAAGTTTATTATACGTAGCTGTCAGCAGCTATAATAATTTTATAATATCATAATATAAAAAGAGCAGGTGTAGTATTATAATAATATAACTTATAAAAAATAAATCCAAATTTTGACTAGCTGATTGCTAGCTATTTTTAGCAAACAATCCTCGCGATCGTATATCTGTTTTTATTGAAAAGAGCTTTGCTAGCTACCCGACGGGCATTTGTTTTTAAAAATTACGTTCTAAATGTGTTTTAAACGTCTTTTAAACGTCTTTTAAACAGTAATGTTTAAAAGATGTTTAAAAGACATTTAAAAAACATTTAGATCGTAACTTTAAAAAAAAATGCCCGTCGGGTAATCGCTAGCTTATGTAGCTAGCTAATCGCTAGCTTATGTAGCTAGCTAATCGCTAGCTTATGTAGCTAGCTAATCGCTAGCTTATGTAGCTAGCTAATCGCTAGCTTATATAGCTAGCTAATCGCTAGCTTATATAGCTAGCTAATTGCTCGCTTATGTAGCTAGCTAATCGCTAGCTTATCTAGCTAGCTAATCGCTAGCTTATGTAGCTAGCCAATCGCTAGCTTATGTAGCTAGCTAATTGCTAGCTAATCGCTTTCTTATATAACTAGCAAATCTTTATGGCCAAGTCATTGTCTTTATTGTTAAAAACATCGCTATTTAGTTGCTAGCCAATGTTCCTACAGGGCGTCGACTTTTTTATAAATCAATTTGTATTTTAAACTATGCTAAACAATATAGGAATTAAAGACCGTTGGTTTTAAATTAATGTTTATAAAATAGTAATATTTTTGTCTTCTAACCTCATTATTAACTTTTAAATACTGAAATCTTTTGTTGCCTTATATTCTTTGTTTGCGTTTTAATGGACCAGTGATATGAAATTTGCACCTTGTTGTCTTCTGAAGAAAACAAGTTAATATTTAAATACAATATGTTTGTATTTAGTATAATAACTTTCTATAGCACATTTAAATGGTGAACATAATATCATTTTTATTTTTCCAAGTTTTTTTAAAAAGGTAATACCTAAGTCATGGGAAGAAACCATAGTCAAATTTAGGCTTTGTATAAGATTTCTGTTTAAAAACATTCATCACTTGTCTGTATTTTTTTTCTGATCTGATTTTGCGATGCGAATCAAATCTATAATTGCGGCTCTTTTTAATGTATATGACCAGCTGAACTTCAATTAGCGCAATTTTGCCAAAAATATCTTTTTAATGAGAAATAATTTACTATTTTGAAATAATTTAAAAAGTTATTCCCGTAGTGGTAAAAAGTGTGTGATGGATAGAAGAAAGGGTTTTGAGCTTCTTAAAGTATTATTTATTAAATTTTCTCATATTTTAAATATCATAGTTAAAAAAAACAACTTAAAAAAAAACATTTTTTTTTTTTTTGTTTATTAAATTTTCTTAAACAAAGTCGGTATTCTTGTATTGAGACTTTTTTATTAATTCAAAGTAAATTGTAAAGTAAACTTACTAGATGTAATTCAAATGTATGAGTAATTTTTCTTCTTTTTTTAAACAAAATAATGTTTTTTCATACTAAGCTTAAAACTTTCCCGAGATTCCAAAAATATAAATGAAAAGTATTAAAACGAATTTTTTTTTATCGCAGACTTTATATAACTTAGAAGAGCTTATAATTCCTGGAAAGCTGTAGCAATTTTTCATTACTGCATTTATAAATTTGAATTTTTTTTAATCTACATTATCAAGGTAAATTTTATATTATCAAAAATTTTATAGCAATATATTAAACTTATACTTTATTTAAGAATTTTCACTATCAATTCTCAAATCAAGTTGTAAAATTTTAATCAAAATAATCCTATCAGTTAAACCTATTATTTAGAATTATTTACCTACAATTATAAACCTATTATTTACAAAATTCAAAGATTTTTCAAATCTAGTTTCTTTTTTTAAAAAACCATAAAAAACATAAAAAAAGCAACTGTTTCTCAAAATTTTAAAAAGGACACAAAAGTAACGATACCCTTCTGGAAAGTGGGGCCTTAAACTTAACCACTGACATGAACAAACTAAATAGTTGTTTTTTTATCTAAAATCAATTTGTTAATTATTATATTAACATAATATTATATTAATCACTAGTTGATTACTAAATCTTAGTTATATTTATATTTATTTATCTTTTTTTTAATTTTTAGAGATGTTTGTCGGGAATAACGGAATGATGATATCAAAGATGAATTTTCTAGGCTTATTAACAATACCGAAGGAGTATGAAGTATCTTTTGAAATTTATTTATCTTCAACATCAGGCTTATATACAAACGCAATTCACATTACTAATGGAGATAATTGTTGCAAATACGGATCTAGAATTTCGACTGTATTTTTTACTTATAACTTAGCTGCGGAATTCAATGCTCCAGTAAACAACGACGGTAATTATCATTTTTACACAAAACCGTTTACTCTTCAGAAATGGACAAGAGTTAAAATTAAACAATATTTAAGTGCTGGCAACTACTTTTATACTGTCGAAATTGATGGAGAGGCAGTACATTTGGTAAAAAATACAAATCCTCAGGTTTTTCAAAATGTCAAACTGTATGTCAGCAATTTATGGCATGAAGCTCAACCGGGGTACATCAGAAATTTGATTGTACAAAGTAAGAAAGTTTTATTTTTTTATTATCATATTTTTTTTTATATACAATGATGCATGCGAATTTAAACTCGTTCCAACAACGACTTCGGATCATATTAAAAACAAAAATGATAAATATTTAACAGTTCTGCAAAGAATATTATTGTTTTGAATACTAATTTATAAGTTTATATGTAAACATTATTTAAACTTTTACAGAAAAATTTTGCTTTTTAAAACGTGAGGAAACATTTTTTGAGCAATGATAAGTTTTGTTTATTGGTATTGTTGAAAGAGTATAACTCAAAAATGCTAAGCCATATTCTGCAAAGTTTATATATATATATATATATATATATATATATATATATATATATATATATATATAT